CTCTTCATGGTCCTCAGCCAGTGCGGAAAAACTCATATTCTCTCTAATTCGAGAAATTTAATAAAGCTTTGAATTTTAAGGTTATTACCCCAAATATTCCTTGCTTTCTTGCTAAAGAATTGCCATTCCAAGTCCAGAAAAAGATATGAGATTTTCCTGATGTTATAATTGTGTCTTTATCTGTTGGATGGAATGCTACTGCAAGCACAACTTCATTTGTAGTCTGCAGAAAGAAAAGGGGAAATCTTTATATTAATATTCCTGTTTGTGTAGAAAAACAGAGAATGTGCTATACATAGGATACTATGAATGCTATTAAATACATCTCTTAATGACAACGCATTTGGACCACAAACTATGGTCCAGTCATCCGATCCTTTGGCATAGGCATGCTTGTTATCACATGGAAAAAGCAACAAATGAAATTATGGTACTTGGAGGTTTTACCATGGTTTAGAGTAACTACAAGAATTAAAAATGCTGCAGTTTATTTTCATACTTTGAGTTCACAAGGCATTGACTCAGTGGCACAATTTGTACGGTTTAGAAAAACATAGCCTGAAATGAATTGGTTCTAAGATCTAGAATGTGGTGGACAGTATTTCAATACAATTTGATACAGTTCGGTGAATACATGTGTACTGTCATATACACTTCAGAAAATATTCAAGACAGCTGCAGCCAGTGCAGCACTGAGAGTGTTTGACTAGGGGCTGGAGACCCAGGTTCAAATGGCCCACTGACACTGGGTGACCCTGGGCCTAGCTTACTATGCAGGGTTATGGAGAGGATAATATGAGGAAGAGAAGAACTATGTACACTACTCTAAGCTCCTTGGAAGACAGGTGAGATGAAAATGTGATATAAGATAGCCTGACACTGAGGCTGCGATCACAAACACTAAATAATCCACTTTCAATGCACTTTCCAACTGGATTTTACTGTGTGAACTGGCAAAATCCAGTTGGAAAGTGCACTGAAAGTGGATTATTTAGTTTGTGATCGCAGCCTGAGAATGTAACAAGGAATTGGTACATGATATGACAGCACTGAAGGTAGGTTCTCATGTTTAATAAGTTTCATTATTATAATCAGGGGTCATTTCGTAGAAAAAGAGCTAGGGGAACTCATTAGCATAACTCATTAGCATATGCCACACCCCCTGACATCACCGGAAGTGTGTCATAAGGCCACACCCCCTGACATCACCAAGCATAAGTCAGGTTCTAAAAATGCAATTAAAATAAAAGTTAAGCAAGGGAAGCCAGAAGGTTATTCTTGTTTACATTCAATTTCTACACAAATGTAGAAAACTCATAATTCAGGCCAAGAGGGTTCACTGAATCAATCAAGTACTCTAACCCCAAGACTATTCAGCACCTGAAATTTTGAGATATCTTCTTGATTACTGCCTCCAAATTAAGGAGGAGAAACACATAATTTAGGGCATCTGCTCTGCAGAAAACTGATGAAACCATATTTCCAGTTAAAGGTATATTTTTTTCTAAAGCTGATCACTGAATGATTCTCTTATTAATTTTAAAATCCTTCAAGTTTCCAATAAGAATGTATAAAATTACCTAATGGGACACCATTTTTAGGCTATCATGAGCCACCTAACCAGTAGTTCAGTATAAAATACTAAGGGCTCAGTGTATTCAATAATTCTATGCAGGCCCCAAATTCAACGTAATAAAAAACCTAAGGTTCCATTCAGCACAGTATCTGTCCTTTTAAGTTTAATAAAACAAATTAACCAATTTTGTGTAATAAATAGAAATTGCAGAAATTAGTATTTTTGGCTCAACACAATAATGAACTTAATTAAATACAGACTGACTGAAACTATCACAATAAAGAGGCTGCCTGTAGCTGCACTGGTTCAAAGAAAAATTCAGTCTCAAAAGCCATGTAGTACCTCATATAACAATGGGGTGTAGTACCTCATATAACAGAGTGCTGTGTGAAAGCTATGAGGCAGTTCTAATACTGCTTTCATTGGGATTCCCATGCTGGAGTATCCTGGGAAGACTCTTCTAGTTCAGTTCTAAATTGAGGTTTGTATGGGGGGGTGGGGGGAGAACAGCATTCAACTTTCAAGTTCTCTTGAAGTCTTCACCAGGCCTTAAGGTAAACAACTTTTCCATTCCCCAACCTTTTTGTTGTTATAGTAACATCCATCCAGATGACAAGTTCTAGAGACCTTGAAAGGTTGCACACTTTGGTTAACCCTAATAAAGAAGATATTATGCTGCTTTTGTTTTTGGACATGACAATAAAGAGGCTTTTCCAAGGTGTCTTGTAAACATGCACATACCACAAGGGAGCTAGTATAGTGCAGAAGGAAAGATAATGAGCTGCGATTCAGGAGGCCCCTGGCTCAAATTCTACCACTGCATCCTAGTTAAGATTCCCAGGTAATGACAAAGAAATAAACCTATTAGTGAATGTATTTGCATTTGGATTGGCCTATACATATTAAACTGAAGAATTCAGGATTCAGTCTTGGCATGCCATATGGATGGGTAGGTGAGAACATGAACCTGGCAATTAGCCAGGACCGTGCTTATCACAAACCAAGTCTGAATTTCACGATGGTGTATCTATAAGAACCAAGTCACATGGATTCATAGATTTAAGATGGATTTGCTGTGACCAGAAATGAACACCACTATTTACCTTTATTTCCGCTACTTTTGATTTCTTCTGCCAATCCCAGACAGTCAGCATGTGCTCATTAGAATCGTCTATCACACACAAATGCATACCTGAATCCTTCAAAAAGAAAAGCAACATAGTAATTTTATATCACCTTTACATGTAAAGGTAAGTATATCAGACAGAATGAAAAGTGAGATGTGTACTTAAAGGTATACGAATCTTCTCCTGTTCTTTGGACAGCATCCTAATCTAGAATACAGACAATACCCCACTGGTTCAATATTTAAACTACATTGTATCTATATTTAAAGGTCAAATAACCAGGGGTAGGAGCAGGCCTAGGTTCACTTGCTTTCCCTCCTGGACAGAGGCCAAATTTATATATGATACTGGAGGGTAAGGAAAAAATGTATTTAAGTGCAGCATTTGGTGCCTCCAGTTTCAGATGTAAACAGAGCCCATGACCATTATGCACGCAGCATTAGCACACCAGCAGAGCACCTTGCTCAACAGCTGCATGTGGGATGCTCCATTTAAGTAAGATGCCAAGTGCATGGGATGTAGGATGGGTAACATTATTATGCCTGCCTAGCATCACGGACAACCTTCAACGCGAACTTGAAACTTCAGTGCCTATGTGAGTATGTCTCATTCATGCACTGTATCTGATGTGAGAACTGTATGCTTAGGTTCTGGTTCACAAATGGTCTATGAATGGTGAATGAAGGTGTGTCAATATGAGGGCTGCTCCAGCACCTGTCAAGCGATAACCAATGCACCTGAACTCTATATGGAGCAACCTTAGCCTGATAATAATGTCACGTCTAAGTGTGCATCTGCACAACAATTTTCTATGCTGGAAGAGGAAGCATGAAATTATACAGATGGGAGCAAGAAAATATGGTTTATGAGAACTCTGCAGCAGCTCTGTTCATTTGTTCTTCAGAATGGCACCACTGCTGAGCCCTCTCCTCAGATCTTCAATAGGAGTAGCCAGGAAGATTAGAATGTAGAGAAAGGAGGAATAACACAAACCATTTTAGCTTGCCCACCTCCAGTCCCCACAAGCTGCTTATATACCCCACCACCCTAATTCACAGCAAATTGTAAGAAAAAAAGCACTGGTACCATATCTCATTTGGAACACTATACTGGAAATACATACTACTATCTGCAAGCCTCCAATTAAATTCTTTCTCTTTCTCTCAGTCACATTTCTTTTTCTCATTCATAATTGTAAATAATGTAAAAGTTATTTTCTTGCCATAGAACTAATTGAAGAAGGAGCACCAAAAGTTTCAGAAAACTTTATGATTCAGAAAACTTTATGATGGGATGGTAAAGTGGGAAAATTAAGACCTGGGCAAATGGCATGTGGTGAAACAGCACAATGACTGCCACAGTGCTAGCCAGAGGTGAGCTCAAAACACCTGAAAACACTATTTCAGTCCTCAGATCATCTAAATTGCCCATGAAATAAATGTGGTTCCAGTTAGGCCTAGGGTAAATGATATGCCCAGTGTTAGAAATGCTGGAATGTCTGATCTAAAGCCAATTATATATTTTCTCTTTTGACTGGATTTTTGCCCACTATTATCATACTCCTGAGTATATTCACGAAGCCTAAGGTGTGGGATCTATCGGCTGATGTAGCAAAAAAAAAAAAAAGGTTATTCAAACCAGGATAGCAGGAGAAATTATGTGTGTGTGTATATATATATATATTTGCTATTCTACTCAATCACAAACTAACCTGACAACTTTAAGCAGAAGATCATTTAACTGCCACCACCATGTACTTATAAAAACAAATGTTTATACTACAAACACTGCTGGCTCTAGCTTATGACCAATGAGACATGACAGTTGCTATATAAAGATAAGGATGGGGCTATCTACTTCTGAAATGGACAGAAGCTCAAAGCGAGGGCTTTTATTGTTTCCTGTTCTAGGACAGCACTCAAGCCCAACATCACAGAGAGAAAATTAATCCTTTGTTTCAGAACTTGCCAAAATTAGTCTTCTTGAACTTCCCTTAGGAGAAACAAATCTTTCAACATGTGTTGAAACTAAAATACAATTCATTTCTATTTTAGGAATCTGGTGTAGACTTCATGGTGCTCTTACAGTAACTTTGCTGTTCTTCTCCTGTTTATTTGACGCAACAGAGAGATATCTACTCCCTAGAGAATCAAGTTCTAAAAGAGAAGATCTACTTATTGCTATACCTCTCACTACAGAATTGTTGGTGCATCTGTTTACAGGATCTGTCAGACCAAGAATTATATCTTGGATCCAGAGGACTTTGAGAAGAACAAAACTTTGCTCCCTCTTCCTTCTTGTTTCATTTTACACTTCCTCCCTCCCGCACAAAGTCAGGAAAGGGGGAAACCTCAATGACACTGCAGAATGAGGAACTGGTTGTAAATAGTGCTCTCCTGCTTGCACAAGGCACAGAGTGTATAAAAAGGACCGCCAAAGTTCCTGTGCTACTGTGCTGCAGCACTGCATTATACCAAAGTTTTGAGCCAGGATATTAAGCCTGTGTCAGAAGACTGCATGACAAATAGCTACCAGAGGCAGATAGGGAGGAGGTCCGTTCAATCAAAGCTGTCATGGGTCTGGTGCAACATTCACAACAAACAATAAGGTGCAGAAGCTGGCAGTGAGAAATCCTAACAGGACATGGGCTCCAGGTACTTGGGCACAGCTCTCTGTATGCAGTGGGAAATATACCACTGGATACTGCTGCAAAACACTTGGGCATAACCTATCCTGTGAACCCTTGCAGCTACTTCCACTGGCATCACCAAACAGATGCCCTACATAACATACACACACACACACTTGCTAAAACACCAAAAATAACACAAAGACTTAGATAGAGGTGTTTGCTTCTGCCTTAAAGTTCCAGGTTTTCGGTAAATAAAATTTTCCTTACCGCCTTTGAGAAATCCAGACATCCTACTCCACGCTCGAAAGTCCCAAGGCCAATAATTTGCAGAGTCATCAGGCTCACCGAATCCCACACTCTTACATGGGGATGTAAAAGCTAAGTAAAAGCAATTTGATATAAAAGGTTACTGAAGAACAAGGCCACGTGTAGAATTCATCCCGTGCTAAGCAGATAATTTTTAATTGAGTTGGAAAACTTATAATTTACTTCTGTAACATAAAATATTGACTGAGGTGAAGAACAATAAAGGCAATCTAATACCTGAGTCCCACTCCTCTGCCCCCGACTGCTGGAGATTGGATTTATACCCCGCCCTTCACTACCCAAAGGAGTCTAAGAGTGGCTTACAATCACTTTCCCTTCCCCTCTCCACAACAGACACCCTGTGAGGAAGGTGGGGCTGAGAGAGCTTTCTTGAGAACTGAATTTATGACTGACTGACCCAAGGTCACACCAGCAGCTGCATATGGAGGAGTGGGGAATCAAACCTGGTTCTCCCAGATTAGAGTCTGTGCTCTTAACCACTACACAAAACTGGCTCACTAGGAGGAGAAGCCAGGGCAGGAGACTATGCCTGATAATGTAGGGACAACCACACTGGCACAATTTGCATGTAATGACATTACAGGGGTTAGCTTTCCACATTCTCAGACCTGTGCCTCAACTTCCCTCCTCCAATGTATGTGGCCAAAATAAATATTTTTTTCTGGCACACCACATTTTGTTTCATCCAAGCATCTCTAACCCAGGATGCCTAATCTAGTTCTTACTGGTTTGGAGGGAAGGAAAGAAAATGTGAGATTTACACAACAACAAACTCTGGGTTTACCACCAAAGCAGAAGGAATGAAGGAGAACACAGGGCTTTCTAAGACTCATACCTGTAATGACAAATCACGGTCTATAAAAGTGGTTTTATTCTTAGGATTCCCCCCCCACACACACACACACAAGTTGTTTTAACTTTGGGGGTTATAAAATTTATTTGAAGAGAAAACAGAGATGATTTTGACTAGTACTGAATCAGAGCACTGGATCTCCCTTACTACAGTTCTACTGCTGACTCGGTGCAGAGAAATGTCATCAAACTGTACTCCTGGGAACTGTGGGGCTCCTTGAATATTTGTTAGGGGCTACTCAGTGAAAATATCAGTAATAGCAGAAAGTCTCTCATAAAAAGATGGGTTGCTCGCCTCTGGACTACCCATCTCCCTCCTGCAGAGGGGGAATGCTGGACTGCTATCATACACAGGCATTCCTGGTAGACATTCCAAAGCTTCTCAGCACATAAATTGTTCCGGAAAGGGATCCCCTGAAGACAAAAATTTCATAAACCCTTGATGTTGCCTCCCCGTGGCACAATTCCACTGGAATTATATTCAGGCTAAAACCAGTTTAATTTCAAACAGCGCAGCACAGACTTAATAAAAGAAAACAGGGATAAGCCACACACAAAGGTAATGAAAAGGACACTGGAAGCAACAGTTATTTGAGTGAAGGTTATATCAATCAATAACAAGCAAATAAAGACAACCTTATACTGTGCTATGAATTAATCAAATGTGACCCCGGCAGGCAATGTCACAGCCAAATGCCACTGTTAAGGCTTACCATCCATATCAACTTAGCAGAGATGACATGGTAATTTAATTGCTACAGCTAGCCCAGTTTTCACAGCTACACACAAGCATATTTATAAGTACTCTGACTTCAGTGGATCAGCAGTGTTGTCTGCCAAAGGTGCTAGGCCTTGCCTAGACTTAAGGTCATATTTCCTTTTTTTCAAGGCATAAAAGCACATGGATGGTGACAGTTCTACTTAGAGTCACTTTTTTTGTGCGTGTGTGGGGAGCCTCCCTAAAATAAATTTTCAAGACCCATGGTCCTTTACAGATGTCTGTGAGAAATATGCAGCATATGACTCAAGATAACAAGGTATGCATGAAGTCATGCTCTTCCAATTAGGCACAAACCAGTGAGACAGTTTTCAACTTACTCTTCCATCTTTATCCACTCCTGCCAGCTGTCCAGTAGCAATCCTGATTTTGTCGGGATGAACAGCAAGGCTAAAAAATAATGCCAAAACATTGATTTATTCACTGGGAACCATGATCAAGGCGATAGTTTGCTTGTAGACACACTCTTCACCAAAACTGCCCATAGATAGATACAAAGAAATAATAGCAATATTTTAAATGTTGTACTTACCTTGGTTAAAGGTTTAAAAGAGTTATATTGTTATAATAACTTGGTAGATAAGCTTGACAAATACAAGCTATGAATAGTTATTGTCATATTTATATACCTCACTTTCCCATTACTGGCTTACACTGTATTTAAGAGACGCAATACTGTATTTGTTTATTCCTTATTGCGTTTGTGGATTGTTGTTGTATAGTTTAAAATTTAAAAATAAATTTTAAGAAAACAAAACTGCCCATTACGAAATGGGGACAGGAGGGGTACCATACATAATTATACATTTCTGTTGGGCTTTTAGAAGGCTAATTCTCGTGTGTGGTATTGTATCTGGCATACCCTGCATCAGTTTTGTGATGAAACAGAGAATCTGCATGGCTCTACATAGATTGCAAGTTTCAGCTGCAAACAGCCACATTAGGTCTCCCAGGTGGTTTTTTTTTTCCACCCTTGTACTGGGAAGATGGTCATGCACATATGTGATGTCACAGTCCTGTCAGTATCAGCAAAGTAACTAATTTGCAGCAGCAAACAGCTTGAATTCTTTCTCAGATAATAACAGAATACCACTATGGGGTGGGGAATCCTTCAAGATGGTGATTTTGGATATCCATATGAAGTAATTCTTCTCTTCCCAACCCCACCCAGAGACATGTTGTTTTACTCCAGATTGACAACTGTCTGCATTAACGTTTGCTGCATGCTACCATTGTGAGCATTCAGTACAAAAATCATTATGGAAGCAGAGACTAACCATTTAACACAATCTGTATGTCCCAAGTAGTGCCGCTGAGTCCGCTCTTCATAGTTGAACAGTACTACAATAGACGCTATGAAATACACTATTTCTCCAGTAGGCAGGAGGTAAACATTGGCTCGACAATCTCTTCCACGATAACCATATCTTTTTAAAGCAAAAAGGTCAAGGATTTTAAAATTAATTTTGCAAAGCCATACTGTGGAGGTCACATCTCTCTTAAGTTGCCTCTGACTCTATGCACCGTGCACTAGATTTCTGAACTCTAAGGCTATTTTCCTTTTCTTCTCCTTTCAAGTTAAGCAAGGCATGTGAGAAAGACCAGGAAATGTTCTGTGAGATATGCATCCATGTCTACAAGTAAGCATCTGGAGAGTAGACCAAAGGATGAAGTATAAAAGAAGTGTCAGTTTGTAAACTCAAAATAAGAAGTTTTCATTAGGTAATAATAGAAGGCACAGCACTACCGTAACCTATTTTGCAGCCCCAGAATTGCATCAGACAGCAGGCCTTCCCATTGCTGCATTCCTGAGAGGAAGTGTATCGGTTCCATTTGGCCTTTTAAAAGAAGTGTGTGAAAATTCCAAAGGCTCCTCGCAAGGCGGCAAGATACATCTAAGCAGACCCAGAATACTGCAAACATCTTTAAGTTTCTGAAGAAGAAAACTAACTTTGCCGCTAGGGCTGGACTTCAGAATTCCTGAACAACAGGAACAAGCACAATAGAAGTAAAGTAGTCCCAAGGCAGCCCTAACCCTGGTTAGAAGACTGGGAGTACTTTGTGGGCTGGCACATTCCTCCCTGCTCCCCCTGGCCATGCCAACGTCCCATCCGTTTATTTATTTTTTATTTGCATATGCACAGGCCCTTGAGCTGGTTGCAGCTAGGCCAAAATCACCATTCGTGACCATGATGGGAACTGGTTTGTTGCTTTTGAAAATGAAAGGAAGAGGGACGTTTGTGTGTACAAGGAGAAGATGGCACAAGGCCAGCGAGGGCTCTTGGTTTCCTAGCTATAGTGACATTCACAAAGGCCTCCTTTACTGTTGTTTCCACTGTTGGGAAGAATAAACTGGGATCCAATCCCAGTTGAAAAATCTCATTAGGCTATTAGGCAATGTTATGTTTTTTATGTTTTTTATTTTCTACATACATCCCACAAAACTACACATTAACTAAAATTACAGCTGATATATGCTAATAATTGATATCTTAAGTCAAAGGTTTTCTCTTATTCAAGTTAAGAATGAAAATTCTATTCTGTTATTTCGATATGCAAAAAATTAAAATAATTGACAATGCAAGATTATATAATGTAGTATAAACATTTCTTCTAAAGTTTAAGCTATTTTCTGCCTTTCCTTCCTGTTCTTGCTTTTATCGTCTCGGGGTGGTTTGGGTGCCGCCGCTCCCATTTCTGATTCAGATTCTACTTCTGAGCTGCCATCTGCAGATGTTTCGTGACTTTCCAAGCCAAGCAAACTGTACAGTTCTCCTTTTTCTTCTTCCTCTGTGTTCTTTGTATCCTTTTTGGGTTCCTGATATCTTTTCAAAAACTGCTTCACTTTGGTAAAAGAGTCAATCTTTTCTTTTTTGCCCTTGTAGTTGAACATCAAGCCTTCAGGTAGTATCCATCAGTAGGTAGTGGTATTTTCCCATACACAGATGGTTAAATTCTTGTGTAGTTTTCTCTTCTTCCTTATCTCAAATGGAATGTCTTTTAGTATTCTGATGTCTTCTTCTTTGATTTTCAGTGTAGTCCCAGATGTTGCTTTCAATATTGCATCTCTTATAGATCTCTTAGAGAATCTGACATATATTTCACCAGGCAGGTTTTTTTCTTAATAAATTCTGAATATGTCCAGTAGATCATAGCCATTTCGCTTTGTAATACTTCCGTCTTTATGCCTGTCACTGGTGCAAGCACTTCACTAAGGATTTCTTTCAGATT